TATTTGGGAGTCATCTTACTGCACAAGAATCTTAGATTTTTCCTTTAAGAAAATAAATTTGAGTTGTCTCTTTATTTCCTCCCCCCCTTTTTGATCTTTTGGCCTTGGGTTATTTTTAGTCTCTTGTAATTTCTGTTTTTGGTTTGGGTTTTTTTTGTTTATTATTTTTTTTGTTTATTTTTACTTTTTGTGTGTGTGAGTGTGGTGATGCACACGGACTGCTTATTAATAAGGGAGAAACGGTGTAATTTTGTATACGAGTGTGTCCAGATGGGTCGAAGTATTTAAAAACGAGAAGAGAATGGTTTCTTGCTGCATCTCGATAGGATGAGAATCCAATATACTGCTAATCTTTTGGTGTCACCTTTATCCTTTCACTTCTCTGTGGTCTGTACTCTGTGTTTTCTCCCTTGCCTTCTGTAGCTCCCATCTTCTGCTGTGACTATTTTCTCCTCAGTAGGATCTTACGCTTTTGATCTCCGCCACGCTGGCAGGTTGTGTCTCAAGAGAAAATGATGAATATGCCATCGCCGTGCCGCACGCATAGCAAATCAAGGAAGAGCAGTAGAGGAGGTGCCATTCATTTTAAATAATTCCCCTTTTTCTGCGGTGTAGGGGAGAGAGCCAGGCAGGCGGTGTGCGGGGCGAGGCAGAAGTTGGGTCTCCTGGAGGGTGTTCTTCGCTCTGCCACTGACTCGACAAATCCAGCGCACGGAAAATAGAAGTTGTTTCAGGGCAAAACAGGAGTTTGCCTTTCAGTGCCTCAGAAAGAGGGTCACTGGGCAGCTCACCTGAGGGTATTTGCTTTGGAGTAGTGAGGATTGCGAAATGTTTTGAGGCCTTCTAAAAAGAAATGGAAGCAGTGCGTTGTGAAATAGGCTAATCTTGGCCAGGGTCGAGTCTCTGAGAGGTTCTGGGTTGTAGTTTAAAGGAAGCTTTTTGCATAATCCTTTCTCATTCTGATTCTGCCTGTTGGGTTTTTTTTTGTGGCAGATAACGTGAATTCTGTTTGTGCTGGTTTATTCAAAATGATACTGTGTGCACACTAATTTATTCACGGGTTTTGAGGTTTGACCTTTCAAGGACCTGATCGTTATCGTTGTGTTGTTTTCATGGCTTTCTCCCAATGAAATTACAGTCTGTCTGTGAAGTTTTATCAGGCTGTTTTACACTTGCATAGGTGGGATAACGACCCCTGTAGTATCTTTACGCACGAGTCATCAGAAAGAGATAGAAAGAGAGGAGCAAGTGGGAGATGTGGTGAGACCATCCGCTATGGACGTACTGGCATTCCTCCCAAACCAATCTCAAAATCAAGATTTCGAAGAGAAAACAAATCAAAGAATCATGAAATCGTAGAATGGTAAGGGTTGGAAGGGACCTTAAAGATCATCTGGTTCCAACCCCCCTGCCATGAGCAGGGTCATCTTCCACCAGACCAGGTTGCTCAGAGCTCCATCCAACCTGGCCTTGAACCCTGCCAGGGAGGGGGCAGCCACAGCTTCTCTGGGCAGCCTGGGCCAGGGTTTCGCCACCCTCAGGGGGAAGAATTTCTTCCTAATATCTCATCTAAATCTGCCCTCTTTTAGTTTAGAGCCGTTCCCCCTTGTCCTGTCACTACACACCCTTGTGAAAAGCCCCTCTCCATCCTTCCTGTAGCCCCTCCAGGTACTGGCAGGGGCTCTACAGTCACCCCGGGGGCTT